CGCTATCTGAGCCCGTGCCGCTAGCAATCAAACATTTGCCTTCTTAATCCTCTCTCGTAAACTTTTCCTTTACGACAGCCCTAATAAACAGCAAATGTGCATCAGAACTCCCGTCCTTCGGTAATCCTCAATAATTGCCTTAAAAGCACGTACCGCCAATAAAACAATTATCCGAACCTTCGCACACCTCGACTCGCAAAGACCTTTCCTTTCTTTCCCATTCCAAGAGAATTTCATCTGTTCCCTTCTAATGACTGTCCTCGCAAACAGTATGAAAAAGAGAAAAGATGAAATTCTCTTGGAAAGGGAGAAGAAGGAAAGGTCTGTGCGAGTCGAGGTGTGCGAAGGTTCGGATAATTGTTTTATTGGGGGTGCGTGTTATTAAGGAAATTTACGAGGATTCGAGAAGGACGGGAGTTCTGATGCACATTTGGTGTTCATTAGGGCTGTCGTAAAGGAAAAGTTTACGAGGGAGGACAAAGTTGGACTCGTGCATGTTTGGTGTTTATTGGGAGTGGATTAGGAAGGCAAATGTTTTTTTGATTGTTAGCGGCCCTGCTCAGGTAGCGGGTGAGCAATGGCGAGCGATGCGACGCTCTGATGCGACGCGGGTGACACAAAGACAAGTTATTATTTTGTAGATGTCTGATATTATAAAACCTTATTAAAGTTGTACACGTTTTCTTTTTACAGCGAGCAAGGACTTAGCCCAGACTTCATACTTCATGGCATCTAACAGGTGGCTACACATTATTTCCTAGTATCTCTTACTCTTAGCAGTCTTCTGGTCAAATAGATGCCAGTTGGATCATATTTCCAAGCTAAGACTGTCAGGCAAATAGCCACTGGCGCAACATTCTGACCTGTTTTCACATGAGAAATCAAAGTAAACGTGAAATAAAATTATATAGAATAATTTGACTTGCTTCCTAAATATAAATAATGTTGTAACAAGAAAGAATTGGAGAGACATTCGAAGATCTTGCAGTGTATTATGATAGCACGATAAAGTTTACTTTGATTTCATGCATTTTCTGAGTTCTAATGCGAATGTTTAAATTGTCAACAGTAACTTTTAGGGAGGAATGTTGCGTTGCAGTCGCGGTAATGTCTGATTCTAAAGAGAACGTATGCCAAAGCGAAAAGAAGTATATTTCCTAAACTAAGTTCACGATGAGGATTGCTTAATCTAAGGTAAATGAAATATTCTTAAGGACTGATCGTTTTCTCTTAAATTACGGTATATTGTCAAGTTTTTATTTTTATATTTATATACACTTATTTTTAAGCTGTAGATGCACAAAACAAATTTGAAAGAGTGAATGAGATGAATGTGGGAGCAGTCATGCGATGTGAATGAATGTATTAGATATATGTAATAATTAAAGAAATAGGAGGAAAATTAGATACGTTAATTAGAATTTATATATGCTACAACTTTTCATGTAATGGGATAAGTAGGTTGAATCACAATCTGATCCCAGTTCATTCAAGTATTATTTAATGATGAGAAGTACGAACGATCATTAAATAATACTTGAACAAATGATTGCATAATTAGTTTGGATCAAGCCTTAATCTATTTCTATTAAAAAAGACGAAATAATTGAAAATGTGGTAAGCTTTTGCAAATCTTTTTACTCGAAACAATACGTTCTCTCGAGTATATGGAAGCATAAAATAAAAAATTTGATATTTTTAGTTTTTTGGTTTTTATGTTTTACATATAACGGAATATGGTACTATTGTTCACTCTATCATGGGATTATGTTGGGGCAAACTTCGGTAAAATTTGTTACGATACAACAGAGTGTCGTAAGACATATACTGAGAATCACGTATGTCGAACGAAATTTCATATAAACAATTTTGTACAGTTCATTGCGAAAATGGAGTATCTTTGCCTTAGCATGTATTCTTCTTCTCACTGCTTTGGAAACGTACTCTTTAGAATTAAACAAAATTGTATTCACAGACTGAAAAACTTCTAATTGGAAATAATGTTAATCATTTTGAACGAATCGTAAGAAATTCGTCCTGGTTTTATCCCGATATTACCCATGTTTAATGGAACTTGTACATCAGCTTTTATGGTACAGTTCTTTTTATGCCTTGGGTTATATTACATGGAACAGTCGCTGGTACACGAGATCAGAAGCTTTCTATAAAACTCATGAAACCGTTTATTTTTACAGTTTGCATTTGACGACAATGTGTCTGCAGTACAAGCCAACGGTAGTCGCCTGTTTTTGCATTCATCTTGCCTGCAAATGGTCCAACTGGGAGGTAAATCATTATAACTGTTACTCAACACACCATTAAGCTTGTAGAAAATAGTAAACACAATTTATACTGTAACGTTGAAATGTTTTCAGATACCACAGAGTACAGAAGGAAAGCATTGGTTCTGGTACGTCGACCGGAGCGTGACATCTGAACTTCTTCAAGAGCTTACTGCAGAATTTCTGCATATATTTGATAAATGTCCCTCGAGATTAAAGAGGAAAATTATGAGCATATCCGCCAATCAAAGTCCAAGCATCAATCATCCTAGTTTACCAAATTCACCTTTTGTGAGTATCTTCTTCCAGTCATTCACACTTTATCTACCTCTAACTGTACAATGTCCATACAGTCTTCATTAAGGAAGAAAATGGTTTCACTAAGATTCGTTTGCAGGACGCAGAGCCCCGCAAAGTGCAGTCTCCCGCGACAACAGCCGATGGTGGGCCAACATTCCATACGAGTCGACCTCATCATACGGACAAGCAAGAAGATAAAAAGCAGCTCGGTTCTGCTCCGACAAGACCACCGGTTGATTACCGCGAATATCGTGAGAAGAAAGAACGAGAACGTTTAAGCAGGGAGAAGGCTTCAGCTCCGACAACGGCCACAATGACTCATAGTTCGGACATCAACATTCATCATTCTCATCATCACAAACCTGTATCTAGTACAAACGTGTTGAATAAGCATCCGTTGCCGCCTGGACAGAAGGCGCTTCATCACAACCATCATCACCGGCCAGAGGTGAAGGTCGGCCAGCCGGTAATGCAGAGACACTCTGCCAGTAATCAAGCTAGGGAACCAAATCGCGATCCTAATAGGCAGAGGGTACAGCGGGAGTACAATTCGACAAGCGGTATGAGTAGCAGTAGCAGCAGTAGTACTCTTCATTCACATAGCCACGCAGTGCCGAAAGAGCCGAGCGGGGATAACTCATTAACGGACTCGTCGACTCACCGATCGGAGGTCGGCTCGTTGCAGGAACCAGCATCTCATGGATCCATGCAGGAGAAACTTAGTAATAATAACCATAGTGTGCATAGATTAAGCGGTGTAGAGAGTAAGCATCAGGGTCACGACAAAAGGATGTATGACCCGAGGCATAAGCCGATGGAGCATCGAAAAGATAGTGAGCAGAAGTCGTACAAATACCCGGACCCATCGAGGGTAGATCGACAGAGAAAATCTGACACGTTGGAGCAGAGGTGCGAGGAGGTGAGGAAAATCATCGAGAAGCCTTTATCTCTGCCAAAGCCGACATTGGACGCATCTTATGCTCCCAACGCGCAGAAACCAACGCACCACACTAAATACAACCAACCGGAGAAGCTACAAGTTAGCGCAGTATCCGTCGACGGGAAGTTGATGGTTCCTCAAGGCTCCTTCACGCAGGAAAAATCCCCGACAGGTACCAGTTCATTGCTCACCCAGAAGCCCCTGTCTTCGAAGACTGCATCTAATCAGCACACGGCTCACGGTGTGTCGCAAATACTGAAGGATACGATTAAAAACGGTAGCTCTCAGGCGTCAAATCTGGCGTCTTTAAACAATCTCGATGATCCGAAAACAGAGAAAAGGCCACGACATGAGGAGCATGACAAGAACTTGTCCGAGCTGCAGCAGGGCGTGTTGCAGACGCCGCCGACCAAACACAAGTCTCTGTTCAGCCCGGAGAAGGTTCCGACGCCACGAGAGTCACACTCGCAAAGGCCTAAGTCTAAGCAGAAGACGCCGCCTTCGGCGGCTAAAGTTCCTAAGCAAGACCGCGTGTCGGACTCATCGATAGGTTTTAATTTAGTATCGCCGTTCGCGAGTCCGCCGGGCTTGCCGCAGCCAGAGACTCTTTTAGGAAAGCGTTCGTCCAACGAGGTCTCAGCATCGTCGCATAAAAGGCATCGTTCTGGCAGTGCGAGCGAGAGCGGCCAGCCGGCCAAGGTGAAGGTGGAGGACACGTCCAGCTTCGAGGCAGCCAAGATGCTCGGTAGGGTGCCGGAGTTGATTCAACCTATCAGGGACAATCCGTCGAACGGCAGGGCCAGTCAGATCGTCAACGACGTTAAAATGCCGGAACTGATCAAGCCGTTCGACGCCGAGCCGACGATGCTACGGTTCAGTGCAGCGCATCACCAACAGGCATTGTCGAATCAGCAAGGAATGACGAACGGCCTGGACACGGGGAAGCAAGAGCCTCAGGAATTTCAATCGAAGAAAGACTCTTATAAAGCGGATGTCAAAAAGATTGAGCAACAGACCAAGACTGACTATCTGTCGCCGATGAAATCCGCGCAGAGTATAAGCGCTCTGCTTCAGGAGCCATTAGCACCGATGCCGTCTTTACTTCAGAACGTGCAGTCGTTTAACCAGACGATTGTTCCACAACAAATGCCCCTTGAGATATTCCAGCCGCAGCACATGCAGCAGCAGCAACCACCTCTGCAACTGCAGCAACCACAACAACAGCAGCAGCAGCAGCAACAACAACAACAGCAAGCTCAACAACAGCAATCGATGTCTCATTCAATGCTGCTAACGGATCATCAAATCCCCGTTCAAGCCCAATGCTTGTCTCTGCCGACGGTCATCGAGCCGGTGATAGCCTCGACCGTGGACATAAGCGCGATCTCCGGACCACTGCAGAGCAGTACAGAGTCAATTATCTCCGTACCGACGTCGACAACGACGTTGACGGTCCCGGCACCGGCCGAAGAAAAGAAATCAGACCACCACAAGAGCGAGAAAAAGAAAAAGAAGGAGAAACACAAGCACAAAGACAAGGAGAAGACCAAGGAGAAGACCAAGGAGAAGCACAAGCACAAACACAAGGACAAGGACAAAGAGAAGCATCGGGAGAAGGACAAGGAGAAGGGTGGAGAAGAAGCAGTGTCAGCGGTACCGATTAAGATTACGATACCGAAGGACAAGCTGAACCTTAGCACCGAGTCGACTGGCGGCAGTGTCGGTGGGAACCAGGTGTCGATCGATAAGAACAAGTCGCCTCAAAGCACGAGCATTAAGATCATTATACCGAAGGAGCGGCTGAAGGGCGCGGAGAACGTGTCGAGCTCGCCGGCGCCCGCCGTGGTGCAGGGTCCGTTGAAGATCAAGATCAGGACGGACGGAATGTCGCGTAGCTCGACTGGCGCGTCTTCGACCACCAACAGCTCAAGCAGCTTGGTGCCGGAGTTCGCGAACGACAATCGGAAACGAGAGCGGGCCGACACAAAGGAAAGCCCGATGACCAGCCTGCCTCCAACAAAGAAGCAATCGCAGATGTCCTCGGCGGGATACGGCCAGCACCGGCCGGGCGAACGGCAGAACGGCAGGCACTATAGTTCGGGCAGCAATAACAAGGTACGTGGAGGCGGTAGAGGCGGCCGCCAGTATATCGGGCGTGGTCCACCACCAGCAGGATCGGCGGGACATTACGGTGCTTCTATACAGCACGACATGTATCAAGACACCTACAATAATAACAATGCTCGTAATCCCCACCATCCGCATCCGTCGTCCGGCCGCGGCGATCCAGGCTACTCGAGGGGTGGTCCCGTGAACCAGTCCCAACCAGAATCTTATTTTTTCACGAATTATCCACCACCCTCGTTGTATCCCCCCGCCGGATACATCTATGACCCCGTCATGTTCTATCAGTATCAGCAACAGTACTCGATGTATCCGACGGGGAACGTGATCATGACGCCTGACGGCGCCATCGACACGTCTGTGCCGCCACCGACCCTTCCGCAGAACATGCGGCAAGGTCAAAGCATGATCCCTGTCCCGTCTACTCGGCAGGAACCTAAGACACCGCCACCGTTGCCGAGCGGACCACCTCCCAGATCTCCACCTCCGCCCCCGCCACCGGAATAACGTTCGTACGGAAATCCTGACTTGTAGTGGACTTTGAGAGGTAGTTCCAACGTAGCGTTTGCTCACCCAGCCACTTCTCGGTCTTTCGTTCCACGGTTCTCTCTTCGATAGATAGGCTCGCTGGACAGCCCCTTGGAACGTCTACGTCAGTTCGGTAACAGGCGCTCATTGTCCTCGAACTGCTTGGGGTTATCCATCGAGCTGGATGCATACTGTATCAGTTTTTGCTATTATCGGGGCACAGTGTTCATGTGCAATGGAAAACATTTTCATAGTTATATTGTTCATGTTTAGGGGATGAAAGTGATCCTCGCATTTTGGACTGTTCAGTGCACACTTGTTAATCCGACGAATTCCCTGTAAATTTGCTTACATGGGCGAATTCAGCATCAACCCTCTGTTTCTTAAGTCTGAACAAACTGTATATAACATGAAAAGGGGTTGGAGGGACTTCGATTACAATGATGTGATAAATACAATGATGCATATAAAAGAGGAGAACGGATGGATAGTTTATGGGAAATGCGATTTGTATCTGGGAATGGAAATTACGTTTGAGGATTACTTTCACAACCCCCTGAAAGATACATTGCTGCTTCATCAAAGTTATAGAAAACTACCGATTGAAACTAACGTTGCACAGTTTCCAAGGAACACAACGAAATTGGATGAAATTTTGTGACAAAAATTGTGAACGGAAAATCGAAGGAAAGCAACGAGAAAAGTAAACAGCTGTTCGACGCTAGAACCACCGACTGCTAAAAGCGAAGTTCCTAAAATGCTGTACAAAGATAACAAGATCCCGAACATCGACACTTTCGTTGAACCATTCATTTAATAATTTTCTACGAAGAAGACATCTTTAGAGCTCGAATAACCATAAAATAAGATAAGATACCTCGTATCCGACTGATCCGGCGGTTCTAGCGTCGCGCTTGGAAAGGCTGATTGATACTTTGCCTTCAAGAATCCCCAAAGTCGAGAGCTGTGAGAATTCTCTCGTCGGGTTGCAACGAGAACGAACGTGTCAGGAACGAAAAGGAGAAGTGGCTGGCCTTTCTTACCTAGCCTCTATTCCTCCCTCTTCGTCCCCTTTTCCAGTTTTGGAATGGTAGAAGTAGCAGCATGCCGTACGATCTCTATCCCCTAGTGTTACGGATATACCATATATCGATCTTTCCACCTTTGTACCTGTAGCGCATCTCCTTAGTGTAGTATTCGAAATGAGTGTGGGAGTGTTTTCGTCGAAGAACGAATGCGGAGGCCGAGGGTCCCTCGGGATTTTAGGACCTTGTGGAAGGAGAGAACTGCGGCCACGAAGACGACCACCGAGAGACAGTGTGTCGCGATTTCGTAGAAGAGTTGACGATAACAGTATCCGGATTCGGTCCTGTCGACGAATTGGGCCGAACGAAGTGCCGGCGCGTCGACGTGGATGTACTTCTAGGGAAACGAATTCGCGAAGGTTACTTAAATCGGGGATCACGCGAACATCCGGGGGAAGAAGTTGCAGCGGAAGCAACCGTGGGAATACGTTGTTAAGAACGCACTGCCAATCGAACAGAGAGAGGGGAACTAGCTGACTTCCGGTCACGGTGAAACGTGTCGGTTGATCCTAACGACGTGCTCAATCGCGTGAGATGTATAGGCCCTATTTTCAATATTCTTCTGTTTTCTTTTCTTACTTCCGTGCCGCCCCCCATTCTTTGTAATTGCTACGATATCGAGTTTCAGGGTGGTAAAATTCCTTTGCTGGCAAAGGTTTATCAGCAGATTAGGAAAATTACGTTTAAATTAAAGAGAGAGCGAGAGAGAGGGAAAAACGAAAAGACGAGAAGAAAAAATGAAAAACTTATACAAAGTTACTTAAAAAAAATATCATATACACGTACAGATACGCGGTCGCGCGGAATCTGTATACACGAAATAGGGTAAAATAGTATACGTGCTTATAAGTGTATTATCTCGATGTGGTGTGCGCTCGGAAGTGTTTACGCGTTTATGAAGTTATGTTTGTGAACACGTTGTACGCCACTTTCAGGCGATCCACAGGGGGTTGCATCGCGATCACGGTGTGTTTAGAATGGTTCTTTTCACGATGATCCATTCACTATAGAGATCCAGAGCCGCGGCATGATCGACATGCTCGAACGATGCGACTTCAGCACGATTGCAACCGATTCTTCTCATCTTTTCCATGTATTCGTGACCCGTTCGTGCACACTCTTCCGATCGAATGAGAGCGGTGTAGATCGGGTAGAGAAGTTTTATATGACTTCATTATACTACTTGCCAGTTTTTGCAAGTAGTTCCAGTGAGTTTACCGGTCGAATAGCTTTTCGGTCGGTCCTGCTTTGCCTCCGGTTTCGAGAAACTCGGGAGTTACGGTCAACTCGGTGATTAATTAACACTATGCCGTCCGCAGATCTTAGATATGATTCTTTTGTTTGACGCCGGCATAATAGCTTGGAAATTTTAGATTTTAAAAATAAAATAAATTCCTAAAATTAAGATATGTCATCCAAGAATTTTCGTACTTAATTCTTAGTTAAATAAACACAATGCTATAGTTAGTTTGCTGCCTTTTAACACCCAAGAAATATAGTTCAAATGTTATTTCAGTTTTTTAAAATGGCACCAAAATAGTACCACCGACATACAACAGATAGTTTTTGCATGGCACCAGCGTGGTGCCACCGGACGGCATAGTGTTAACGATCTGGTCAGTAATTTTTTTTAGACAGGTTCTCGAATTCATTCAACGAATTCAGCGAGTTAGTCGCTAGAATTTGGGTTAGTTGAGGTCAGTAATTTAGCCAATTCTCTCACTTTTACACTATTGCATTTAATTACGATCAGCTTGGAATGATTAGAAACGATACTCCGGACTTCTCTGTAGCCGAATTCAAGATTTTTTGGTGATCGCCGAACCGCGTTTTTTTATGCATCGAAACGTTTATTTGTGTTCTTTTTTTAAATTCGCATGTAGAAAGCTCAGAGGTGTCTCCCTATGATTCTCAATTTTTTTAAATAGTATTTCTACGCATCTTGAAACGATATTAGTTGTGTAACATTTGATTAGCAAGAGTGAGAAAAGCTTTTTATTTATTATCAAACAGTGCATTGCAGCTACCAATTGATTGTTACGTATATAATTTTCATACGTACTCGGTTCTACACGTTAGAAAGATATAGAATAACGATTGTCGGGAATTTTTTTATCGATGTCCGAACTCCGAAAAGCATTTTAATCTTCTGATACGGTCATCGTTGATCTCTAAGCAATTCAATGATCCGAAAGGAACGAAAACCGGACCGGAAACAGACGACTGCAACGACCAAGTTTCTCGCCGCGTAGGCAAAGTCGAATCGACCACGAGAAAAAGAAAAAGAAAAATAGTCCACTTGTTGTGCAATTAGTTAGGAGTTCTTCATTTTCGCAAGATTTTCTTTTGTTTTTTTTTATTACACTCTTGTACAATACAGTGCTTCTAGTTCGATCACCGTGCGTGTCCTCGTGACTGTATATAGTTTCTTTTTATATATTTATTTGGAGTATTCGCAGCGCGCATGAGACCTTTTTTTTATTCTTATCAATAGACGTCCACACACACAAACACATATACACTCACACACACACATATATATATATGTATATACACACACACACACGCATCCACATTTTCGACAATATATATATACGGAAGATAAAAAATGGGAAACAAAAGTAGGAATAAATCATTTCTATAGAAAGGATATTATCTCAGGAACGCGTTGAAAGAGAGCGAGAGTAAGAGAAAGAGAGAAAGAAAGTGAGTGTGTGAGCCAGAGAGACAGAGTGTGACATTAATATATATATATATATATCTCCTATATATATTTGTATATAAATTTATAAATAATGCGTTTATATCTAAAACATGAGTGCACGGCGCGTGTCATTTGTTGTTGCCATTTCTTTTTTTGCGACGGACAAACTGAGGAGAGGTGATGAAATAAAAGTTAGTGAGAGAGTGAGTGAGAGAGAGAGAGAGGGGGGGGGAGAGAAAGATGTTCTTTAAATCGTGTCCGCTAGCGTTAAATAGCGTCTCGATGTCATTGTTGTTAATTGTTATTATTGTCACGATTAGTAGCCACTACTCTCGACGTAGACTATTTACAATGTGTACTGTGTGATTGCTATAGAAGATCGGTCGCCTCGTTTCCCAGGCCTTTCCCAGCGGCAAAAAGCAACTATACGAACGCGTCGAAAATTACGATGGTAATTTGCGCGCGTGACGGTGACAAAACTGTATGATGCCCCTCATCGCCGACAGATCTTTTCCGCGACAGATCGCGGCTCAGTAACAGAGTATTCGTCCGTTTATTGTAATTGAGATACGCTATAGCAGGGTTGTCCGTTAACAGCCCTCTGGAACGAGAGGTTCAGGAAGAACCGCTGGGAATGATCGTGTTCCGCGAGTACGAAGGATTCTTTGGCGTGCAGGTGTCGGTTCCTCTTTCTTTCGTTAACGAACCTAGTTGACTATGAACGTGCACGTAGGAAAATCATTCTCGATTGCTCGTCAGGACCGATGTGTCGGTCCCGCGTTCTTCCTGGACGGCGAAAGCAACGAAATAACCATTAGGTGTTAAGGATCTTTATTCTAGCCTTAGTTTGTAACGGCGTTGTAAGTGAGTGAGAGAGAGAGAGAGAGAGAGACTGTGTGCGTGCGTGCGTGTATGTTCAGAGTATGTGTAGAAGCAGTGCGATCAATGATCTAAGACTCGATAGATCGAACGGGATCGGCCTATTTAAATGAAAGAAAAACAATGGAAAAAAAGAACACTTCGTGCAATTGTGACAGTCGACGAAGACAAAATAATTGCTAAGGTAAATTATGTAGGTTTTGTACACTCCGATAGTGGGATTAAAATGAAAAATGATTTGAAAGAAAGAGTTATAAATACTATATATATATATATATACACACACATATATATATATTATTAAAATATATATTAATTAATTAAATATTAACACGAGCCCACGCATGTGTCCAGCGATCGGTACGAGTGATATAAACGACAAAACACAGTTTTACGGACGTTGAGCTACGGAAGAGGAACGCGGCAAAGATATGTAACAAATTGAGAAAAACCACTGCATTCAATACTGTACATAATGTATAATCAACCACTTGTCGCGTACGTTGCCTGTTTCTTTCTATTTTTTTCTTTTCTATGATTAAACATCTGCGTGCCACACGGTGTTGTCTTTGCATCTTAACAGAAAATAATCGAGAACCATTGAGAACTGCTCGAACTGCTGCTCGATCGTGGAATCACGTGGAGCAACGTCGATCACTCGCGAGCACCGAACTCTATCGTTTCGTTGCAATGTGTGAAAAATGATATCGTTTTCCGTGTCGGTAAACGCCGCATCGATTGCTTAGTTATTTCGTGCGACAACGGGAAGTCGGTCAGACCCATTCGCCAATCCATTTGCATCGCTAGGAGAAATGATATATAAATGACCTCGTCACATCGATCGTTTTGTACAGCATCATTCGCGGTCAGTGCACAACGTTGCAGTTGTCGCACTGATATAAATCGTTACGCTTCTTTTCTACTACTCCATGTTTTTAAGCCAGCCAGCTCCCCCCCCCCCCTTCCCCCTCGATGAAGTAGTTTCAAATCGACTGGAATTAATTAGACTGAATGATCGAACGAACGCGGATCGGTTCACCAGAGATTCTTAGCAACGATAAGACGGTAGTCGAGCGCAACGATGAACGACAGTTGTCGCCGCGATTGCACGGGAGTTGCAAGTTCGAGCGACATTGAGCGTAGCGTGTAATGTGTAATTTGTAATTAAATCAGATTATTCTGCTGGCGAGAAACGATTTCTCGCCGACGAATCTCGCAAACGATTTATGCTGTTCGCGCGATCCCCGTTGGGTCACCGCAGGTGATCGAGCGGTTCTCCGTTTCGCGGTTAGAGAAAGGGACGACGCGATCATGGGCCACCGGTGACCCACTTTGTCTCCCCGAACGTGGACAAGTTTTCGCGTAATTTCTCGCCGCGGGAACGGAACGCGTTCGCGGAGGCAGAAAAATGGCGTTCGCAGTGGTGCGACACCACGATGTATATATACCCCGTGGAAAAGCAGATGGTTACCGCTAATTCCGACTATTTGTAGACCCGTTAATTATCTATTACAGGGACCGTACGCGTCACGTGTTCGACCAAGAAAAAAAAAATAAGCATCGCAAATAAACGTTGTATGGAAACGAAAAGTACCTTAGTGATTATTTTGTCTCTTTCTTAACACAACACCATATATATATTTGTATATATATATATATATATTTATATATATAATTATATATATATATATATATTTAAATATACATGTATGTATACGTGTAAATATATACGTAGCCAGATATATGTATGTACATACGGCGCTTACGTATCCGTACATATTATGCCTAGATATAAAACTACATATATATTTATACGGTATATGTATAATTTTTACTTATATATATATAATATATTATATTATAATATACATAATATACTATATTATAATATATACATATATATAATATCGCACATCATTACTCGCCGCATCTTTTTGTGTACTAACATTATATATCACACGCTATCAGTATGTAATTTACGATGATCATGCGTACGAGTCGGCCCATTGACACACATCATATACCGGTCCCGCCGATTAGGATGGCGGTAAATTAAGTCGTGCTCGTTATGTCTCGAATTTGCTTGGTGGAGGGTACACCTGCGATGATCGTTCTCGCCATTGTTATTATTCTATCATCGGCGCTATTGTTGTTGTGACCTCTGTTGTTGTTGTTGATGTTGGCGTTGTCATTGATGTTGTTGTTATTATTATTATTGTTGTTGTTGTTGTTGATTGACGTTTGTCACGTGTGTGCGTGGGTGCGAGTTTGCATGGGCATGCGCCGCGGTAGCAGGCTTTCATTTGTGTTGCGTGCATGCGTATACAGTTTTTAAGACCACGCTTTCGACATGCGTCTCTTATTCGTCCTCCTTTCACGGTGGCTCACGTTGCCAATGGGAATCAGGATGACACGGTTAACACTCGCGGCACACACGGTGATCTATGGGGGTTCGTTCTCATCCGGGCGCTTAAAAAGACGGCTGCAAACTAAACATTCATTATTCCACCCCTATCACCTGATTCCTGTTTAGGCGATCGTTCCCGTTCATTAATCACGTGATTAGCTCCAACGGCTCGAAATCCATCGAGATGTCCGTCGCCTGAAGGATCGTCGATCCCTCGAGGACGAGCGATCATCGACTTTCTCGTTTTTTCTAAGTTGATTGAGATCTTTGTGCATTTGCGGGAAGCATTAAGCAATGCGAGAATGTCAATTTGCATAAAGATCCGCAGTCTGTTGACGACGATGATGAAGTAGATAGTGGAACGGACGGACGAAAGACAGCATCCTCGCGGTGGTCATCGCGGCTCCGCTGTGATCAAGATGGCTGATACCACCGGAAACCGCAGTAATTAGTCCAAAACGGAGGGAACCTTCGTTCCCGCAGTCGTACTATACACCTGTTACGATTCGACGTTTCCTTCTTGTTCACGTACTATCGGTTTCAGTCTCTAATTCTCTCTGTCTTCAATTCAGCAAGGGATGCTGTTCACTGTTCACAATTTTAAAGATAATCATTCATTTCTGACCCGTTTACATCGCAAGAAAGAACGAAATCTAACGACCGATCAGTCGGCCGGTCCACACAGCTAGTACTTCATACAATTATCTTCTTCTCTTTTATTTGATGAACAGATGTTCTCGAACTATTCTCGAACGAAGTTGTTCCAATCTGGAACCATTAACGATGCAAATGGGGTAAGGAAAGAAAACGGTCCTCGCACGGTCGTAAATAAAAGAAATGGGAGAACATCTTCTAAAACAGAGATTAGAGCAGGGACGTATTCTTTAACGGTCACTTAGTACTTTCAAAGCATCGACATCAGCCGACAGTGCGTAAATACCCTTCCGCCATTCAGTCAGGGAGCGAAGTACCACATTTCTGTTTGTATTTTCAGGAGAAGCACTCGTCTAGCCACCATAAAAGCTCCAGTAAGATGTCACAGTCGCAGCAGTCTCACGCAACGTAGTATTCGGACCCCAGTCGAAGAGGATGTCGGTAAAAAACACAAAAAAAAATGGAAGCGAAAAGACTGTAAGCTGCGACAGCGATCGGACCGACCGACGTCCAACCGGAAGCCTCCACCTTGCTTGCGCTTCGTCGTTGCCCGTCGGATCCGCATGAAGACCTCGAAGGAGCTGGATTTTCTTCGTTACGCGTTTTTCAACGAGAAAGTAAATAGGAAAACTGGACGCGCCCGATGAAAGACCTCCCGAGGTCCACGGCGAATGACCTCGTTCCGGTACCATTTTGGTACCGATCGAACGAGGAACGATGCTTAGCGCCCTTAGGCTAGCCGAAGCTTAACGCGAATCGATCAGCGATTAACTGCTTCCGACTAGAACGAAGGGGGAGAGAGCCCACGAACGGGGCAAGATAATGTTCTTATACTCAGGTGAAAAATTAGGTACGCGATTAAGCTAAGAGTAAAGCAAACTTCATTTCGTCCTTTGATCATTGGATTACGCGCCCGATCCAAGCTCCGTTTCCTACACGTGCGTCTTCAATGTTTTGTAACATAATTTCAAGCGAACGTTTTCCCGTACACCTCGGGATCGCTACCATTTACGATGGTCCGTTTATATTGTTAGCCGAAAAAATTAGTTGTATAGCAAGCTAGGGCGAGGAGAACAGTGCCGAACGGGTGCTACGTCCCCAAAGTCGCGCGGGGATTAGAGGGCTCTTATTTTGGTCCGTTAGTCGCGCGTTCTTCTTTCCGATTTTATTTTTAGTCCTCGCATTTCCTTCGTGACGTCGCGCGACTTTCGTCGACGATACGCGAACGTTTCAGAGGAAGTATACCGTCTAAAGCGCGACTTTAGGGTAAAAACTTATAGTTTGAATTGAAAAATCTAATTTTAGAACTTCCGGGCTCCGATCCCGAGGGCAGCTACGCTCCCATCCCGTCATTTTGCATTTGTTATCCCGTTCAACTGCCACGATTATTTGCATCGAACGAGTAAGAGACGATGCGCCGCCATTCTCACGGCTAGTAAATTGATCGTCGATCGATTCGTCAAGCAGGGACGTACACACTGCGAACGGTTCGACACGATTTTTGCATCCGGCCCGACTAAGCACGCGGACAGGATCGTTTCGTTTTCATCGCGATTCTTAACCGATTGTATTTTTCCGTTTTCTCGCATTAATTGTGCATTTAATCCTTTTTATACCGCGTTCTATTTCTCTCTTTCTCTCTATTTCTCTCTCTCTCTCTCTCTCTCTCTCTCTCTCTTTTTTTCTGCAACCGAGAATCCGAAATTCTTCCCGGGAATGCGTTGATCTCGATGGAAGCAGACACGCGCCTGTCTCGTTACTGCTGAGTCCCCATAGCGTCTCGACGCGTCCCTAAAGAGCGAATCGTTCTCGATGAGAGCGTGTACACACAGGACAGACAGACGGACGGACACAGAACGATAGAAGAGGGAAAAAGAAAGCCCTTGGTCCATTGTCCAATGATATTTATTCGTGCCGTTTTGTTATGTAAATAGCCGGAAAAAAACTGCATAATATAGTAAGTAATTCGAATTATACTATCGCCATTTAGTATAAAGGACTATAGATAAAATAATTAATATTATTGTCAGACTGTAAATAAAATTATTTTGTATGCCAAAATAAACCAAATGAAATGACTCGACACACAATGGTCACACAGTCTCGCGTTACAATACACGTTACGATGATACATGTACACACAAACACAGAATGAAGACTGTGGAATAGGGAAACACACGCGGAAGCGTGTGTACATATACTTTATGAGTAACGATGACAGTGAGAGACAGTTCACCCAGCAGGACCGAGTGCAAGAAGTTTCGAAGACAGTTCCTCCTTTAGACCAATACTGAAATCTCTTAACACTGTAGACAGTCCTGAGCCCGCAAAGAACTTGTTTGTGGTCCCACTGGGTTAACTGCATAAACTGTATCTTTACTTCCAAGTGTCTACTTGAGGGTACGATGAGGTAGCAAAGTATAATACTTGAATATATTGAAGCTAGGACAACCCGCGGTAGGACTGTGAAGCGATTTTCGGCTTCGAAAGTCAACGTAGAACTTAAACGGTTGCTCTGCGGAACATTTTTAGTACTTCCTTCGTTTGACTGTTCAAGGCAGTAGAGATTCAGCGAATGAACACGCTGGGTCTGCTACCTCATATTCTTGCCCTGCAAGTATACATTTCAGTATACGGTGAAGCGACTTGGCAGGGCCACAAGTGGAAGCTTACCATGTATGCTAATCATTGCGAAGGTTGGGCATCCCTCAAACTGAATTCTACGCGATGCATATCCTTTCTTATTCAGTCTTCTCGTTAAGACTACTTCAAACAAAAGGAGCTTGAAAATCATTTTCTACACAATAGTTGAGTTTGCGTTGCTCCGGATGTTTTGTTAGTCTCCTATGAAATTGCTAATGCTTTGAAAAAAAAAATTGTTAGAAAGTTCTCAGCTGAGATGATGAATGCATTTATGAAACGTGAAAGACCGTGTTTTTAGAAGAACCGAGAAAATATTTAAAAATGCAAATGAGGATCCGCTGATGGTCCCGCTGGGTTCAAGTCGCTGTACCCATGTCGTTACCATCAACACAAGCGAAAAAGAAACGTGGTACAAGTTACAGTACGCGGCATCGGACGAGACAACACACGATATCTTAACGAAGCATGCGCATAGTTAGCGAACCACGGTTTAATACTCGCAGTTCCGTTCACCGTAGGTCGATTATTTTTTAAGGGAGAGAAAGAAAAGGGAATCGATAAACACGCCATCCCCGAAATCTTCGCGCGTATTGTACCGGAAGCGAGGTGTTTCGTTACCATCGGTTTTCCATTTAACGAGACACCATTATATTTCGTAATCCGAGGGCGATTTCCGTTGTCGCGTCGGCGAAAAGAAAAATCTAGAACAGCGGAGCATGCGTGCCCCCTTAACACGTTCTATTATTAATAATAATTACTATTAAAAGTATTGATAAACCATTAATCACGATTATTATAATAACACCGACGCAGACCGACCCACCAACGACACACACGAAGATACAAGCGCGCGCACATACATATGTACATACCAATTACATGTAACGATAATGATAACGATAAGAACGCGAAACGGTGGAAAATCGACCCCATAAAGATCGTTCAAGGATGATGTTCGAGCGAATCTCACCGCCAGCCACCCCCCATAGCCATCGTTCTTCTTCTTCTTCGTCAACGTTGTCGTAATTAATTCATTAATTCTTTCTGTGCATATCGAGGATCGCGTCGATCCCCTTCTCCTGCTAATTGTTTCTCGATATAGCGGGGCAGAAATGAGAAGGCACAGGGACATGCACGAGGGAAACAAATGATCGCGGAGGAACCTCGCGGATACAATTGTGTGTATTTATTCTGCGATTTGTGTCGGATCGAACTGTTAACTTTCAAGGGATGCTAGCCAAGTAATCTTCTTCGCGTCCCTAGGGAATTTACGTATTATCCCACGGGCAATGCGAATTTCATATTTTTCGAACATGAAACGTAAACATTAGGTTTTTACATGGATTTCTAGATTATAGAAAATATATAAAAAGCTAATAATTGTGATATTTCATTTTTGTATTTCACACTTTGAAAAAATATGAAAGAGAATTCGCTTTGCTCGAGGGGTGAACTGACAACAGATTGTAGAACCGACAACAAAGTTCAACATTTATTTTTTTTAGCAGACATTATTGGTATCTAAGGGTTGAAACTCGCCCAGAATACAAGAGATGCAAATCCAGTCGTTTATCTCGGAAAGTATTAACTGTAGGACGTGTGCACTTCAGCGTCTTATTCATCCATGTAAATACATTTTTAAACAATTCTTTTGTACAAAATATATTGAAAAATAAGATCTTTTTGCAAATTTCTTGTGTAAGCGTTGGTTTATCTTAAGATTAGACGAACTTGTGATCTCTCGTGAATCAGGACTTTCACGTTACAGGTTCTAGATAAATTAAAACTTCAAATTTCACGTTACAGGCTCTAGACTATAGATAATTCGGTATTATTAATTTAATATTGTAGGTCCTAGAATGAGCAAGTCTGGTTTGCAAAATCTACTTCGAGTTTTTCATTTTCATCCCTGAAAACGAATAATGTCCGTTAGAAAATTCATGAAAAATATTGTTTTGGGTTGAATTAAAATTAAGAGGGGGGTCGCTTGGCTAACAGCCCTTGCCAGTGGATCGTGTAATCGATGTCAAAAAATGCCTTCGATGCGTTCGTTCAACGAAAAAAAATGGTACCGTTAGCAATAAATGTGGGGCGCGACGACTCGGCCCGATAAAATACCAGAATTTTGCTCGTCGGTGACGATAATGCAACGGCTATTTTTCATTCTTATTAGAAAACGGATGGGCAAGAAACCGACGAGTCTATTTTATCGCGCCGACCATATGTATTTTCGTATGTCCCGTTGATGAGAGTAATCGAAAGAGCTGATCCTTCTTGGAGGCTGCTGAGCCGTTTGCGTTTTTCATTTAGAGTGATAGAACAAAACGAGAAAAGGAGTGAAAAAAGAACAAAAGTAGAGCGACGTTTTCTTTAGCATTCTCTTGGCTGTGCGGTACAAACGACGTTTATTGCTAATTGTTTTTCTCGGTCAGTGGACAAATTGCGTGACGAAACCGTTTCACCGTTCGACAAGAACTTATTGTTAGATTGTAACGAAATGCGACGGTGTTTCATGATCGCGGATTTTTCCATTTTCGAAGATCGAAACGGACTGCGGATCGAAACGGATTGCGATTCTAGAGAAGCGCCGAAGAAAACAAAAAGGAGAGGGAGAATAAAATAGCAAAATGTCCGGAGAGAGAGATTATTCTCTTTCGTTTCCTTCTTCGGAAAATGTTGGCAAAAAGAAAAATTATGCAGCAGCTCGAGCCAGATACAAAAAAGAAATGGACGAGTATATAAATGTTTTTGTTTTTCCTTTTTTTTTCTAACGAAGCGAACAAAAAGTTTAACAAACCGTGTCCGCGATGTAAATAAATTTATTCTTAAGGACTTGAAACAGAAGTGACGATTCGTGAAGAGTGTATACTTATTATTATTATTAATTATTATTATTATTATTATTAATTATTATTATTATTATCGTTTGCAAATCGTGCATTTGTATTTCACACGCAGGCCACATCCGGCCGCGTATCGTGGATACAGTCTCGCTCCGGAAGTCCTCAGTCGCGGGAAAGTCACCCTTTGTTTGAAATTTTTAGCGTGAGCAACGCGACCTTGTAAAAATTCTGCGGGAAAGAATCAGCACACAATGGAAATTTTTTGTTTTCTCTTTTACTTTGTCGAGAGCAGGTTTAACCTACGATCGACGAACAAGATCATGGTGGTCAGAGTGATTTTAAGTGTTAGGGAATCCTATTTTCGCGGAGTCTGGTCCCGAACAAAAATCAAATGTTTCAAATTTCTGTTATTAAAGTGACTTGTTCACTGGTTATTGGTATGCCTCTTTCATTGTGTGTGCAATCGTTGTACCATAATAAAGACTCACTTCCAGCGTGTATATGTAGAGGTTTTTAGAGAGATATTTAAAAAAATGTGAAGGAAACGATATAGAAAAGACGTAGCAAAGCCTTTCATCGATTTCTCACGACTGACGATCTTCCGGATTGAGCTGGGCTTGCCTAGTTTCAGGCGGCGTTTAAAAAAAGTTATCCTCAATAAAGAGAGAAGCAAAAGAATGACTAAAACAAGCTACTGTCTTATTCTTGAATTCAATCTTCCTTATTACAAACCGCCCACAATTTATTCCTTATTATTCTCGCCTTCAGAAATATATTTCCGATAAGAAAAGATATTCCGAGAATAAAAAAAACTGTAAACATCCACTTTAGATAAAAGAAAATATAAATATGTTTCATGCATTGATAACTACGTTAGAAACATTTAATACTAAGGCATACAAATTTACTATTAACTGCTAGTAATCGAAAGAAGGGTAAAATCATTTGACGCTTAATTTTCTTGGAACATCTAAGTAGAATAAATTTATTTATTCATTAATTATTATATTATTATTAATTAGTCAGGAACATAATTTGTTATTCATACACGTGTACTCGGCCTCGGCAGATTTTTAATTTTAATTTGATTAGATATGGAACAAACTGAGGTATGTTTTAATTAAGACGTCTTAAGCGAAAAATGACACCTCGATTTAACATCTATGTGCAAGTACAAGTGTTAATTTGGTGTCATATGTGTTGCATGATGTGATTTCGAATCTGACACTTCAATTTTTATCGTCGTGATAAGAGGATTAAAGCGTATTTTGTGTCTTGCTAAATAATTGATATCGGATTTATATCATTCGATAATGAAAACGTAGATAGAAATTGTTTGATTTCGTTCGAAATTTTGAATTCGCGATTGCGCACTACTTTAAGGTTAAAAGAATCTACTGTGTAGATATCAGTCGCGAAGTATTGCTAGTTTGCAGTATGTATTCAGTTTTCGCCGTATTCGGATGCCAACTGCCAGGTTTTGGGTACGTAACATTTACACGTGATCAAATTGATATATAATTCACCTTTTTTTGCATTCCACGTTTTATTTGATATTTACTGTCGGGACTGTCACTGAACAGTTTACTCTGTTGAGATCATCGCATATTATGTGCATGGTTACACACTCTACGTTATTGCGTGAGATTTGCACAAGCATGGTATGTCTTCAGACTTTGATAGATTATTATTTTTACATGGTGAAAGAAAACGTAACACAATCGACTTCTATATCAGTTATTTATAACAAGTTTGTTGACAATCCTAACTTTCTTTATTATTTAT